TCGGTGTCAGTGGAGCTCTCCTGCCTAAAAAAACACACAAACTGAGGGTTTTATAATAAAATATATGATGACAGATACACATTACAGGCTTCATGATGCTGCTTTTCAAATCTTCTATTTCCTGTTTTGTAACCTCAAGCAATCAGTGGTTATTAGATGCAAGTCGCTCTCTAATTATCGTATTTGTTTTAAAAGCTCATCTTGATTTATCTGGCTCTCAAGCTTTACATGCATAATTTATTTGGTGCAATGATTCGTGCAGATGTGAAAACTGTACTTGAGGTTACAAAAACCTTTTCAGTTTTCCATTTTCCAACAAAAAGCACCCATAGGTCAACCTCTCGCAGTTGGCTGTTGAATTTACCGTATGAGAGTGGAGGAGTTTATCTTATCAGCTATTATATTACGCTAATTAAAACAAAAAAATCATACATAAATTAAAACAAACAAGAACTCAAATAATTAAATGTCTAACGTTTCATTTAATCATTGTGCTATTTATTATGATTGCATCAAAAATGTTATTTTATGACATTACGGTGCTTCCTTTTGCAAATTTAAACAGTTTTCAGCTTCTTTCAGCTACTTTCAGCTGTTTGTTCAGCTGTTTTGTGCTCCTTTCAGATTATTTCAGCTAACTACAACAATTTTGTGCTTCTTCTAACTTCTTTCTGCTAATTTCAGCTTGTTATGCTCCTTTCAGCTTACCGTATTTCTGCTAGCTTCAGCTTTTTCTGCTATTTCAGCTACCATTTTGTAGGTTTTGTACTAATTTTAGACCTCAGCTAATTTCACTGTTTTTGCACTCATTTTCACTTTTTTCAGCTAAATTCAGCAAAAATATGCTCTCTCCACTTCTTTCTTGGAATTTAAGCTCCTTTCAACAATTTTTAGCTACTTTTCAGCTTTTTTTCTTGCTATTTTCAGCTTTTTCCTGATAATTTCCACTTTTTTGTGCTCATTTCTGCTTCTTTCAGTCTAATTCAAATATGTTCTTTATGCTTTCTTATATTAATTTAAGGTTGTTCTTTTCAGCTACTTTTTTTTTAACATGTTTTAGCTAATTTCAGCTGTTTTCAGATAAATTCAAGTATTCCGTGGTAACTTCTGCTACTTTCAGCCTAATTAACTTCTTTCAGATAAATTCAGCTTGTTATGCTTATTTCAGCTTTTTCTGCTAGTTTCAGCATTTACTGCTATTTCAACTACTATTTAACTGTTTTTATGGTAATTTTAGCCTTTTAAGCTAATTTCACATTTGTTTAGCTCATTTCAACTCTTTATATTTCTTTCTGGGGGAGTGGTGGCGCAGAGGTTAGAAGATGGGCCTGTGATCAGAAAGTCGCAGGTTCAACTCCCGATACCGTCAACATCAAAATGTGGGTGGAAAAGGTGGAACATCCACACCTCCCTCCACCCTCACTCGCCCCACCCTCAACAAAGCCCTCAACCCCACCATCTGCCCCCTAAACAGGTCTCTCTTGAACATGAGTTCTCATGGCTCAATGAGACTACCTGTATAAATAAAGGGTAAATGAAAAAAATATTTCATTCTGGTTGTTTAAGCTTTTTTCCCTCTCTTTTCAGCAGGTTTTTTTTGTGGTTAATTTCAGCTCTTTTTTTTTTATTTTTATTTTTTAGCTAATTTCCTGTTTTTGTGCAAATTCAGCAAATATGTGTTCTTTCTTCTTTCTTCTGCTAATTTAGGCTTGTTCTTCCATTTCAGCATGTTCTTTTTTGCTAATTTCAACAGTTTTTTTCTGCTAATTCTTCAGCAATAAGCGTTCACACTGCATTTTCAAAAGAAATGCAATTTCTCTAGTTTAGAATTGCTACCTTCTTACAAGTATGTCAAGAAAAGTTCAGAGAATAATTAAAAGTAGGCATAAAAATCAGGCACTATTCATAACTTTCTGAGGGGTAGCTGACAGGTTTTCCTCTCAAGCAGCTTGGTTTAATGTTAGTGATAAAAGAAACTTGTGGGCAACAGGAAGTACAAAATGAACCTGTTATGAAATCAGTGCGGTGCTCGAGCCTCAGCTTCAACAGCCTGATAATCAGAGCGAATCAATCATCTTTGGGCCTTGAAGAATGAAAGTGAGAGGGTGGCGATGATTCAGACGTCTGACTTTAGATTAACAGGTTGACATAAGAACCTGCAGTGATTTTCCAACTATCTAAAGTCTGTTTTTGATCCTAAATATGTCACTTTTATTATAACCACTTAATTATTAACAGATTAATTTAATTAAATGCTCAGAGATTAGAGACAGGCTTTATTTACTTATTTCTGAGTCAACATTTGCATTGTTTTTTACGTTGTGCTGCTTCAAGCTTTCATACAGCAAACTCTTTGGCTCCATCAGGAAATGCATGCTCTGACTTTTGGTGTCTGTAACTTTTATGCTTTTAAAAATATTTTTATTTATTTAAAATAACCTTTCCCATAAAAATAAACTGAGATACCTTCAATTCATTCAAAACAATGTTCTTTTTTTATCTTCTCGTGCTACTTTTAGCTATTGTCGTACCACGTTTAGCTTTTAGCTGCTGTTTTGCTTTTACTAAATGCTTTCTCCTCCTGTTAGCTACCATTCTACTTGATTTAGCTTTTAGCGACAGTTTTGCTAATTTCAGCTATGGTTTTGCCTTTTTTAACTTTAGGTTAGGTTTAGCTTTATCCCGATGAGCCAGCCACTCTGCCACTAACACCTGTCTTGACACCCATCAGAGCCATCACACCACCTCCAACCCCACCCTCATCTGTACATCACATCCAGCCAGGTGATGAGGGAGCTGAAGAGGCTCAAACAAAAGCTGCTGGACCAGACGGCATCAGCCCTCATGTTCTGAAGGAGTGCACCAGTCAGCTCCGTGGAGTTCTTCAGCACCTCTTCAACATGAGTCTGCACCTTGAGAGAACCCCAGGGCTGTGGGAAACATCCTGCCTGGTCCCAGTGCCCAAGAAAGAACGACCTACAGCTCTGGTTCACCACAGACTAATGGCACTGACTTCTCACATCATCAAGGTCATAGAGAGGCTGGTCCTAGCTCACCTGAGATCACTGGTAGGCTCGTCACAAGACCCTCTGCAGTTTACATCCCAGCCAAAGGTTGGACTCGACGATGCCATCATATGCTTGCTGCAGAAGTCATCCTGCTTCCTGGACAGACCCAACACCTCAGTATGCATCATGTTCTTCAACTTCTCCAATGCCTTCAACACCATCCAGTCCAAGCTGTTGAAGGCCACACTGGAGGACTAGCAATGGATACTCCCACGGTGAGATGGATAGACAACTATCTGATGGGCAGACCAAAGTTTGTGAGACTACAGAACAGTGTGTCGGAACATCTGATCAGCGATGATGATGCCCCCCAGGCCACTGTGCTGTCTCCGTTCCTCTTCAGCACCTTCACCACAGACTAATACTGCACCGAGTCGTATTATCTGCAGAAGTACTCTGATGACACGGCCATGGGATGTGACAGGAGGATGAGTACAGGGACCTGGTGGACCGCGTTGTGAGATGGAGAGGGGGGAACCACTTGCAGATGAACATGGAGAAGACAAAGGAACTGGTGATTGATTTCAGCGCCATTCCCAGTCTGCATCAATGGTCCAGGTGTGGAGGTGGTGTCAAGCTACAAATAGCCAGGTGTCTGCCTGGACAACAAACTGGAGCGGTCCACCAAGGTCAGTGCCGTGCACAGGAAGGGCATGAGCTGACTCTACTTCCTGAGGAGGCTCAGATCATATGAAGTCTGTGACATGATCTTCTATCAGTCTGTGGCGAGCATCATCTTCTTTGTGCTGGGGGACGTTCATCAAATCAAAGGACGCCAACAAATTGAAAAAAACCAGAGTCTGCTGAGGGTTAGTCCCTCTGGAGGAGATGATTGAGGACAAACTTCTACAGTTCTGGTTTTTTAACAACTCAGTGTTAGCTGCTTCAACAAAGTTCAGCAAACTGGCGCTTATCACTGCAGAAAATATATTTATAGTTGATTTATTTTAACCTTTTTAACCATTACTAGTTTTAATATTTTGCTTCCAAGCAGCCAGAGTTTCTTGTAACCCTATAAACTGGTTTTGAATGAATGGACATTATGGTTTTAACTTTTTAAGTGCTTTGCTGGTGATAAAATACTATTTGTTTCAGACAACTTGTGTTATCTTATTTATTTTATTTTATTTTTCTCTGCTTTGTGACAGATTGATGATAAATTGCCTGAAGATCCCATGTGAAGGTTAGTTGTATTGTCCAAAAAACAACACAGCTTCAGTCAGGGTATATCTTAATGGCTGAATAATTCACGAGTTACAGCTTATCAAACAAATAGAAACAAAAATTATCTGAAAATAATCAGATGCTGGACAGAAAATGAATAAAAAATAAGTAGCAAAAGATAAATAAATAAAAAATACACTATGAAAGGCCTCCAGAAACCACTAAAGATTGTTGATTAGGAAAAGGTCACAAGAAGTCCTGGCTCCTCTGAAGTAAAATATTAAATTACTCCAGACTTTTGCACATTATCGTAGAATAATCACTGGCAAAAATAAAATAAATAATTACTTGGTTGCTAAAAGTTTCTCCTTCACTAAAGTGCCAATATAAGGTCATAGTTTGTAAATAGTTTACATATTCAGTTCAGTTTTCTTTGATTTAGAGGTAATAAATTATTTAATGGAAGCTTATAAATGTTGTAAATTTGTACCCAAGGTCCAGAATTCAAATTGCAGGCGCAAAAGCTTTGTTGGTTTATTTAGAAAACTAGGGATAATTCTTTAAAACGTAGGCTTTTAAGTGTACCTCCATAAACAAATGGACTTTTCTCACATGACTGTTGTGTCAGAGAAAAACGAGTTGAAATTCAGCAGCAAGGATTCAGTTGCTGTTCAAAAGTCATTTTATTTTGAAAAGACAGGAAGTAATAAGTTTTGTTTCCACAGGTGAGCCTCTGGTTCCAGTCTACCTGGCAGCTTGTTTGAAACAATGTCCCACAGCTGGGAGGTGAATTTAACTGGAGTCCAGCAGAGTAAAGGTGTCTGGCTGGTTAAGGTTTGTTTAAAGAATTTATTATAATGTTAAGAAAACTGATTTAAATCCCTTTAAGCGATGAGTTGACCTCATCCTCCTCATGTCAAGACTTTAAGGTTTATCAAAAAGCAAATACTGACTGATTTTTGTTTATAAGTTAACACTTATAAATATTCTCACCGCACAGGTTCCCAAGTTTTTATCTCAGCAGTGGAACAAAACCACAGCCAAAGGAGAAGTTGGGAAGATTACCATTGGGAAGTGAGTTTAAAATAAACTTTTTCTACGTTTAAAACGGTTTTAAATCTCCAGTAATTGACTCATTGATTATTAATCAAAATGTGAAATGTTGTCTTCTTCTTTCTTTAGAACATTTTCTAATGCGTTTTGTCCAAAGTGTAAAAAATTCAGAACAAAACGACATTTTGTAAATAGTGGTTTGCAACATGAAGCAAATATTCTTTCCATCTTTCTAGAATAACATATTCCTTGTGTTTCCTGTGTTGACAGGCGTGTAGTTGGCATGATGACTGCAACATTTACATTAGGGATGCACAATATTGTATTTTTGGCCAACAGCCGATATGCCAATATGTTGAAACTTATTTGTCCGGTAATCAATACCAATACCAATATTTTTTTCCTTAGACCTACATACAGAGACTACATAGCTTTCTCTGCTGAGAATTAAAAGACTACATTATTCTGGATGGTCTTTGTTAATTTGGACTGCATTCCATATATATATATATATATATATATATATATATATATATATGCCAATAATATCCTGCATCACTAATTTATATATTGAACAAACTGCTTTAAAACTAAACCTAGTGAAAGTTGATTTAGACATTACCTTTATTATTTATTTAGTCTTTTTTTTTATCCGTCTTTATTCTGGTACACACCTGGCAAAGCAAAGTTTATATCTTTTCTAAAGTTTAAACATGGACAGAATATAACTTGTCCTAAAGTTACTTGTTTCATTTTATGATTTAAACATTTAAAGTATAGCTTTCCAGATATATATCAACATCCAATTCCAGAATGCAGGTACGCAGTCAATGTAAACAAAACCCTTTTATCTGCATACTTTACTCAAGATATCTAAATGTAAATATGCATCGATACATCAAAACTGTCAGTCTTCTCCATTCAAACAGCTATTCCATGCTGTTCATGGTTTTTAACCTGTTTTTGTGATGCTCAAGGTCAAGGTTTATTTGTCATTTGCATCATATGTGGTGCATGTGATGGAATGAAACTGTGTATACAGGGTCCCAGTTACATCCAACAAAATTGTAAAAGAAAAACAGTAATAAGATCTAAGATTTGAACTAATAAATACGCTAAACTAAGAATACGCTAAGTACTAGTAGTACAAAAACAATATGCTGAACAACAGCAGCACGAACATGAGTCTGTGTGAGCAGATCTGAGCAGACGGTGGTAATTTTGAATTTTTGCTTAATGTTTTTGTTTAAGGACACTTTACCCAATGATATGAAGAAAACTATTCTGCACTTTTATTTTTGCACTCTTTTTAACTAGTTTTCCTGACATTGCAACAAGTCCCTTTTAAATTTAATCAAGATTTTCAAACAAAAATCTCATTTTTTATTAATTTACTTCAAGTTTTGTTTTGTCATAAAGAGCGTGACTGACATAAACAAAGTGCCTCCTCTGACTATTTTGCCCATCTCTGTTTTTTTTATGTATTGCATGTTAACCTTATATCATTTTCACTAGTGCGCCTTAAAAATAATAAAACAACTGATTTGTGTGTGCACGTGTTTTTATTCTTTTGTGTTGTTTGGTCCTGGGTAAAGTGTCTTCTGTAAAAACAGACCAGTTTAAAGTTATTCATTCCTGATACAAACCATCTCTGCGTTCTCATGTAGCCTAAAAGATATAATGTTAAATTATTTTGATTTGAGGGTTTTCCAGGTGAATGTGAATTGATATTACTGTGATTAACCGTGGTTGTTGCTGCCACACTGTTTGTCTAGATCCTTCTGGGCTGTAGAATAATCGTTTTTGCCCTCATTAATGAGATTGAAAGTAAATGCTGGTTGGCGCAGGTATAACGTTTACTGATGCATGCTTTTCTTAATCCTAACAGGAAACAAGGTAAAACCGAGGTGAGACGGCTTTAACTTCTGCTTCTCTCTCAACGACATGTTCATTTATCAAACTTTTCCACATTCCCACCCCTGTCTATATATTTTTTCATTTATTTATTGTTCTGATGGTTTCCTCTCTCCTCTCTGCTCTTGCGCTGACTGAGCTTCCTCACAGGAATCAATAAAGCTTCACTAGATCACATTTGACCTGATTAGACAATGAGACAGCTAATAATGAGTTCTGATAACGGTGGGTTGACTGACTCGCGTGCGTGTGTGTTCCTCCATAGGTTTGTTTCAGCCTGAATCAGGAGCTGGTCGCCCTGGGTGGTGATGGGGAGAAGGACTCAGGATCGCTGCAGGTCCCAAAGGAGTATCCCTTCAGCATGCACGCAGTGGGTGGACAGACCATGGCCGTCTTCAGCCAGAGCGACGCAGGTCAGAGTCGGCTCTCGGGCTTCACTGTGCAGGGTTATATCTGCAGCTCTTGTTTGGCTCTGTAGGTGGATGAAGGGTGCAAGCTGAAACCGATCAATCAGCGTGGGTGTGTGATAACATCACATGTCATTTAACAAGAACAACAAAAATTCTGGACAAATGCATCATGACAGACGCACAGCCACGAGGAAAAAGGTGTAATTTAAAAAAATGATCTGATTCTTATCAGGTTCTAAAATCTGACCGTCATGTAAATTGTGTGAAAACCGGAGCCCACCTTGTGATTCAACAGAGCGTGGAATCATCTTCTGTAGGATTTTATCAGTCTCTCAAGTGGCTGTGGAGGAGTTTTGACATTCTTCTTTATGATTATGATTCCATGGAGGGCTGGCTTGAGTGGTTAGAGCAGTCGTCCTCCAATGCAAGAGTTGGGGGTTCGATTCCATCAGCAGACACATGTCAAAGTGCCCCTGGGCAAGACACTGAACCCCTCATTGCCTCCAATGTGTGTCCCATCGGTGTATGAATGTGTAAAGCACTGATTATTCTTTGTATATAAATGTGTGTGTGTGTTCATGTGTGGATGTATGGAGTTCATGTGTTTAGTTTTCACCAAACATGGTGCTTTGCATTATGGGTAAACGTCTCTCCTTTGGTCTCATCTGTCCAAAGGATGTTGCTCTAAACGTCTTGTGGTTCATTTAGATTCAAATTAAGTTGTGTGTTTTGATCACCACATTAATGTGTGTACGTTATCAGCGTATGTACAAGTTTCAGCGTTGACACATCCTCGTAAAAGGTTTCACTCTTTTGTTGACTTATGTCTTTCAGCGCAAATCGCTTTCAGTGGAATTGGAAAATTGCCTTTAAACATTGGGAAGATGTGATAAAACAGCTAGGCCTCCATGATTTGTGTAAGATCAGCTGTTTGGGGATAAAGCTAAACCCATCTTTAGGAATTTGATTTATCCATTGGCAAGAGTTCACTGTAGTTCCATCACTTCTGCCCTGGAGTAGAACAATGAATGAGTGAATGAATGAATATGTTGCTTCATTTGCGTTTAATTAATTAGTGTTTTTGTGCTTTGCTGCCAGCTTTGAATCAAATTACCTAAACCTGGACACGTGTTCTTTTCAGAACGAAGAGGCTTCAGTTCAGTCTTTCCTTAGTTTATTTGTCGTTAGCTTTAACCTTTAACCTGATTGGGGGTTTTGTCAATCTGACCTTGGGGTGAATTTGCTGGGATGTTCACTTCTATGAAGATTGGCAGCTGTTTTAAACGTTTTTCACTCACGAAAATCATGTTTTACTCTAAAACGATGAACTGCAAAATGTTTGCAAAAGACCTCTGATTAATGAGCCCCTATATAGTCGCTTCTTTATGGTCATTGCTGATGTTTTTCTGTCTTGTCAATGTGTCCCATGCTTTTATAGAGGTTTATAGTTATTCAATACATTTAACCTGGAAGGAAGCAGCAAGGACGAACTTGGTTTTTCCAGTTCTGTTCAGTTTGTGCTCATGAGAGGAACACATTGAAGCAAAGGCAGTGCTGAAATAAAGCAATACTTTGCTCTTTAGGTGTCTCTGCTCTGATGGAAACCTGCTGATATATTCTTCTTTGATTGCACTGTAAAATTCATGAGAATACTCAGATCAGCTTCTTATTTGCTGAGGACGTTTGCTGCCAGGTATAATGTGTCATGGCGCTTTCTGAGCCAGAGGGATTAGCATCAGATCTGGAGCTTAAAAATAGCTGTAACAATATTTGTCGGGTGTCTGTTTCTGCATGACCAGAGAATTACTAAAGATTAGGACACTGCTGTCAATGGGATCATGATCATAAATCTGTGTGTGTGTGCATGTGTGTGCGTGTGTGTGTGTGTGTGTGTGTGTAAATGGCTGGTATTGGCTTTAAAACAAAAAGCATATTCTGGGCGTTCCCCAGGCGGGACCAAATTAGATTAAAGCACATGTTTTGACTGCAGGCCACGGCTCGATGCAGAAGAGGCGGTGTGAAAATGGAGCAGATTTCTAGAACAGTTTAGGAAGAGAAGAAGATGAAACTGTGAATACAATAAAAGCGACGGCACGACCAATTCAGTGCGTTTGCAGCAACTTGTCTGAAGCGCCGCCTGCGTCAAAGACTCAGGAGGGAGATAAACCTGTTGACCTCTGGGTTCTCACTGACACATGGTTTAATTAGACGTTTTCTTTCTCTTTAGATGAAAATAAATTATAGGCTCAGCTTTTGGCAGAAACCGTTATATTCAGGTTAATGAACACATGTTTTCAAGTCCTACTTATATTTGTCAACCACTGACTATGCATTTATTTAAAAAAGGATCAAATTAAGCTTAACTGACTGTGAAATTCAATTTAAATAACGTTCCTGGTGCAAAATTGTGCAGACATTTTGAAGCTTTTGCAGTGTTCACACTCAGACTTTTTGTATTCAGCAGTAGGAATTGAATGAAATATTAACCTTTAACCCACGTTATAAATCCTGCAATATTCCCATTTTATCTTGACTAATTTTATAATGTTATTAATGTTATAATGTAATATTTGCAATACAAATCTAAATAGGCATATTGATAATTTAAGCTTTAAGTCAAACAATCAGAAATGACAAAAACTATATGTTTTTGCAGCCTTTCAAACAGCGCAACATAAATACCTTTTTTTTTTGTTTTTATTTATTCAAGTGCACCGATTCTTTATTTCATACCTGAGGTAGATGTGGAGAACAGCTGCAGGTCATTGTATTTCTCTGAGTTTAGTCTTGATTTAATGTACAATCTTTAAGAACTGGATTCTTTTCGCCACAAACTGAGCTCACTGCTTTGCTGCTGAATTCAGTAAATAAACATTAAGAAGTCCAGATGTTTGTAAAAACTGTTTTGCTTCAGTTTTCTATTTTTTTTTTTATCATGTGGTGACATGACGATAAATAAATCTCAAAACCTCCTCATGCTAAAACAAATGCCAGTTTCAAAATAAAAGCATAGAATTTGGATTTGCATGTAGATTGATATATTTGATGTTTGATTTTTTTTTTTTTATGACTTGAGAGAGCCAGATGGAGACTGTATTGTACAGCAACCTCACAGCACGAAGCAGCAATCATGTTTGATTATAGATGTGTCATTTTAAAGGTGCATTACACCACTTTTCAGCAGCCGGACAGAAAACTTCGAACACGAAACTGAGTCAAGTGTGCACATTTCAACTAATGTAAATCCCAAAAATAACTAACAAATCTTTAAGTCCACTTAAACCACTACCTGCATGGACTGAAGTTATACCCCGTTAGTTTTTGAGTGATTTTAATATAAAGATGCATCTTTAATGTTTAAAGACGTAAAAAGTTGTTAGCAAGTTGTGGGCAATTTTCCAAACATAAAGGCTTGATTTTATTCTGACACCATAAAGTGTGAGATCTTAACAAGCCAAACCAACGGTGGATCCCGTGAGGTCATTGAAGCACTGACTCATGAAGCGATGTTCGAAAGCTTTGTGTTCAAGACGTCATTTTCGGGTTCATTTGAATAAAAAAAAAAAAATACTATTCATAGTGTGACTTTTCTTTTAATGTCAGCTTTTCTGTCAGAGCTCTGTGCCTGAAACGTAATTTAATATTTTTCCTTCTCATCAAGATTTATTCTATCACCACCCTCAAACACTTTGGATTCACCCACACTTCCATGTGCGTTAATACCTCCTACATGTGATAATGGATTTTTTTTTGTCTTTTCTGTTACTTCAGTCTTTTATGTGACACACTATTGCACACTCTGAGCTCAGAATTTTTCAGCTAAATTAGAAAAAAAGACAACTTTTAGACTGAGGTAAAGCTTCATAAAGCAGTGGGGGTGGGTAAAAGTGTCACAGTGGACCGTTAGGTTATAATCTGGATGTGGAAAAGGGAGCGCTCAGAAGGCGTAAAACCTTTGGATTTTTTTTTTATTCTCGAGGTGTCGCTGCTGCAGATGGCTGGCTTGACTGTGAAAGTGCAGAAATAAGAAGTGGGCTAAAGTCCTGGGAGACGCGGTGGTGTGTAATCTGTATTTACCTGACCGACGCTCCACTCCTCCCGCACTCGCCTACAGAAAGGTGTACTGTATGACACCGGGCTCCCACTCACTTTCCCACTGTCTTAACCTTGTACACATAAATATAGATACACACAAACACACACGCTGCAGCTCCCTATGTTTACCTGCACATACACACTTGGGCTCATCCAATCTGCCTTTACAAACTCAAAGCAGATTTGATTATTGCCTGCCACCATGAAAGAAGGGCAGTAATGTGCCTGTGGCTGTATGCATGAATTTATTTGTCGGCCTGTTAGAAAAATACCTCCTGAACCACTCGATTTTAATAAACCCACACAAGGTAGTAAAATAATCAGCTAATCAACATTAGTGAACACAAAAATGGCTCAAACTTTGTCACATTTATAAATAATAAGCCGGAATTTGGTGTGTTGGTAGCTGAGAGTCCTTCTCAAAACATACTCTGAGACATCAAAGTTCATGCTCAATAATTCAGGTAAAATTAATCACAGTTGTCAAGTCATCTGGACGTTTTTTTTTTTTTTTGAGACGTTTTGTCCTTCATCCAAAGGACTTCATCAGTCTGAGGAGCCACAACAAACTTGGTCTCACAAGCAGGGCACTTGCATAGTGGACCAAGCAGTTTGCCGGTGAAAAGAAGGTTTCTGGGGCCCGTCGACTCCTCTGAGGCAGCCACTTCTTGTATTGAACGCTTTTTGAACACAGCCAAAGTGGTTCAAAACATCAAAGTTCATGCTCAATAATCCAGGTAAAAAAAAAATCCAACTTAACTTTAACTTAACTTTGTTCAGCATGAGCATGAACTTTGATGTCTTTCCACAAAAAATAAACTGTCCAGATGACCAGATTGACCATTATTGGATTTTGTACCTGGATGATTGAGCCTGAACTTAGATGTCTTGAACCACTTTAGCTGTGG